GTTTGGGGAAAGACGCTTAACTGAAAAAGCCATTAATTAACTACAAAACTATTTTGAAATTGGCGATTCTTCAAAATACTATGATTTCAAATCCAATGAAAAAAGCAATTGGTGCTGTTTTTTTTCATTGTTCAGAAGATGCACTAGAAGAGCAGCGGCACATGTTTTGTCCAAAAGTTGTTAATGGATGGTGTAAATGGCAATCAGACAATCTCACTGGGAATAAAACATACAAGTCAAAATTGTCTTTGCCTTTAGCCATAAGAGATGAACTGAAACCTATTTTTCAGGAAATGAGTCAAGATTCATTGCTAGAGAAATGCCTTCATGGCCAAACGCAAAATGTAATGAGTGTTTGAATGAAATTATTTGGGCACGCTGTCCAAAATCAACTTATTGTAGCAGAAAAGTTCTTACAATTGGTGTGTGTTCTGCCATCATAAGTTTCAATGATGGCATTAGTGATATTGGAAATGTTTTTAATAATTTAAATATTCCACTTTTTTGGAAGTTTAAAAAAAAAAAAGCTCTAAAAAATGACCATCATAGAGTTATAATTTATCGTAAAAAATCACCTAATATTTCAAAAAAACAAAGAAAAGTAAGAAGCCTAAGAAATGGGTATATAGACAAAAACAAAGACATTGAAGAGTGCCAATCTTATAAGTCCGGATCCCAATAAGTTAGCTCTGTTTTGTTTTATGTCAATAAATATCAACTGATTTTTAAAACTGTTTTTTCTCAGTACGTACTTTTTGTAGTTTTGGTTAAACCGTTTAAATTATATTTTCACTAATACTTAATGTAACTTCATGAAATTTTCCACAAATATTTGTTACTGATATACCTACAAAATGACTCTAATTAAAGAGACTCGCTTACTCAGATTTGTACTTATGAAATTTTGAATAGGCAAGTAAAATTGTAAAAATCACATATTCTTATGAAAATGGCTATATTTTTTCAAGTTTTTGTAGTTTGAGTGTGAAAGATGCATAAATTGTAGTTTACATTGTTAACAAACAACTGTATAAGTTTCAGAGTTTAACAGTCACCCTAGGTTAAATAATTGTGTAAACGGTTTTAGCCCCTTTTAGGGACCAAAACCCAATTTTTAAATGCATAAATTTTTTTTTTTTTTTAAATTCCGTCATTTTTGGATTTGCAATTAATGTAATAAACAACCTAATATATCCATTTTTTAGAAAAAAGTTGTCTTATTGTATAGAAGTACCTTAAAAAACTAAAAAAATCTGCTAAAGCTAGTTATGATAATAAACTACTTAAAAAGTAAAATTAAACATATCGCTTATTTAGGTAGTAAAATATCCAAAAGCATTGGAATAATGTATCAGTCACGTTGTTTATTGAAAAAAAACCTACCCAAACAAATCTGCTATAGCTTTGTTTAATGTTACCAAAACTACGGTAAATTAGCATGGGGTAGTACCTATAAAACGAATCTAGAACCACTTTATCGTAAACAGAAGCATGCTATATGTGTTATTAGTTTTAAAGATTAAAAAGTGTGCGATTAATTAAAAAAAAAAAAAGTGTGACTAATTTTAAAAATAAAATACACGATTAACTTTAAATAATGTGTAAATAATATTCAAAATGAAAAAGTGTGACTAATTTCCCAAATAATCTATGATTAATTTTGAAAATAAAAAAGTACACTCAAAACCTATTTTTGAACAAATATCCTTATTCACATTGTTTGAATTAAATGTATATAGTGTTATAAGTCCTAGTTATAATATCAAAATGCAAAAAAGTCATTCAATTTTTTATTATCTTTATAAACAAAAACCAGAATATAAATATTTATTGCGTATATATAGTACCATCATTCAAAAAGTAAAATTAAGCATATTACTTATCGTGCACCTCATATCAATTAATTAATTTACCAATTAATTTAAACAACATTGATTAAAAAAAACTTAAATTGCTTTTAAAAAACTATTAAAAAGAGTGTTTTAAAGTATAAATATTTAGTTAAAAGTTTTTCTAAATTTAGTCACTGCTTTTAAAAAAATTTCCTTTTTTTTTATATATAAATATATTTTCGAAATTGCATTAGTGATAAATATGAAAATATTAAAATAAAATAAAAAAAGATATTTGAAAATATTTATTTGTACACTTGTTATCTAATATTATTATGTTATAATGCCATTATAACATAATAATATTGTGTAAAAATGTTATATATTTATTACAATGTAAAGCGGTTTTTGATGAAAAGACAACTAAATGGTTCTTGATGATAAGACCACTAAAAAAGAACTCGGAAAACTTGCAAATGACGAAATTTTGGTTTTTTGCAAGTTTTCCGAGTTCTTTTTACAGTGTTACAGAGAATTTATCATTTTTATAAAACCATTTGCAATATATAAATCTTTATTACGTAATTGTGAATTTGCAATATTAAGTAACGAAAAATAAAGTTATACTAAAAATAAAAGATTTTATATTTACTTTAAAGTTATTTTCAACCCTACTAAAATATCAATTGAAGTATTGAATTAAATTACGTTCTTTTCCCCGTATAATATATTCCTCAACAAAGACTTGTCCGATTGGTCAAGCCGCAATAACATCCAGTAAATCACGCAACGTCATCAATGACAGTGCGGAGAGGGGTGTGAAGCTGAGCTTGGATTTTCTGTTACACGGACGTTTAAATATTTGGAAAAAGCGGAAAGTTACTATACGCAAGCGCAGTAGAATTTTATAAAGTTTAGAAATTACAAAATGGCTACGGACCCTCAGCAACAGAAAAAATGTAATTAAAAAAAGTTATTTGTATATTCTCGGTCATAATATTCGTTTCAAATTATTTATTGAGTTAATTAAGTTTATACAAAGACTAATTACGTAAATTATTATTTCAAAAATTGTTAGAAATGTTTCATTACGAAAAAAATATAAACACAATAATGCTACTTTTTGTGTGATTTGTTTACAATGTTTAAGGTACTTTCGCTCATTATTCGAGCGTTGCAATTAAATTTTTTTTTTGTTTCAATTAAATAAGATTTTTATCTTTTAGGTAGTTGGTTTAGATACGAGGATTCAATTTTTTATTCTGCAGAAAAAGATGAAACATATTGTGCTAAATTTGTAATAAATTAACAATTTCTACTTTATTTAAAAACACTAATATTGCAATAGATATTTAAAACCTAATCATTTTATAAATGAATAACGGGTCACAACTAAAATTTTGCCCAAACTTTGGAAAAATGTCAATAAAGATCTGCTTTGTGTATATTTTTAAAATTTTAACAGAATATACTCAAAAGCATTCTCTATTCAAATATATTTTTAAATAGTTCGTATGATTTGTAGTTCAAAAAATATCACGCTATAATGTATGAAGATCTAAAATCCATTTTGTATAAATACTATCAAAAAAACCATGGACTGGGGCAAAAACATATTTTTGATAAATTTATCAGAATGGGAGCTCCAAAAAGGACTTTAAATCATTGGCTTAGCATGCTGGAACAAAATAAAGTACTAACTAGGAAAAAAGGAAGCGGTCCTCCGACCACTATAGCGACTGCAAACAACATACGTAAGATGAAAAATTTCTTCAATCATCGGAAGGGCTGCTCACAGAAAAGAGTAGCTAACAAGCTAAAAACGACTCAGCAATACGTTTCAAAGATGCTATTGCAAAGAACAAATATCAGATGTCTAAAACGCATCGTCAAACCAAAGATGACAGCCTTACAAGTCAAGTTAGCAAGGCCAAAGTGTGGACGACTTTTCCTCAAATTTCGTGATGTCGATTTTATTTTGGATGATGAATCGTACTTCACTCTTTCCAACACAACTTTGGCTGGGAATGACCGATTTTACTCAGATGATATTCAAAAGACTCCTACTGATGTGAAGAACAAAATGAAGGCGAGTCAAAACTACTTGTTTGGGTGGCAGTTTAACCTCGAGGAATGAGTAGTGTCAAATTTTTCAAGTCTGGCCTGGCAATCAATCAATATATTTACCGTGACGAGTGTATACGAAAGAGGTTGATTCCTTTTATTAACAAATACTATAGGGATGGTAAATACGTATTCTGGCCCGATTTAGCTAGCTCCCACTATGCAAACTCAGTCCACGCCGACCTCAGAGGCAAAAAAGTCAATTTTGTACAAAAACAAGACAACCCAGCAAACGTCCCGAAAGTCAGGCCGATTGAGGATTTTTGAAGCAGAAAGTGTATGAGAAGAACTGGCAGGCTAAAACTATCACTCAACTCAAAGCTAGAGTCAGTCTTTGCCTTCGTAATTTGGACAAAGACCTTATACACCGCACCTTCAGCTCGGTACACAAAAGACTAGATTTTGTCAGAAGGAATGGAATCGAAAAACTTTTAAAGACATTTTATAAACAACACTTAAAATTGTTGTTTATAAAATGCAAAAAACCGTTTTAAAAAAAATTGTAAAATGACTGAGATATCTTATTTTAAAAGTTGGGCAAAATTTTAGTTGTGACCCGTTAAATAAAAAAATTTACACTAGCAACTATTTGTCTGTTTTTTTCTTCAATAATCTCAATATTAAAAATATATAATCGCAATAAAAGATACCTATAATATATGTGTTTATAGTTTTAAGAGTCTTTTTGCTAATTGTTTAAGCTAACCTTAGATGTTCTACCTGATAATTCTACTGTTTTTCAAAGATAAACTATGTTTTTGTTTACTTTATTATATAAATAACCTCAATTTGCTTTAAATAAAGTATTTTTGCATTATATAATTGTGGAATTGAATCATTAAGTTTAGGGTTAAGCTAAATTATTGTATACTTTGTGTTTGATATTTATTATACAAATTGTTTGTTTTATTTAAAGCAAGCAAATTACCAAAATTGTATTGGAATATCTCATTTAAATTATAATTGAAATTTAATTACTTGCACTTCTTTATTGTATAAAAAATACAATCTAAAACAGTCTGTTTATTAATTTGAAAATATTAGATGGATATCCACTGCAAAAATTTAAAACTTCTATGCAGGGTTTGTAGAAACTTTTTAGGGAAAAAACATTACTTTATTGAAGCAGTTTTAAAAGTTAAAATAGAGACAGTATTCCACCTAAAACTGAATGATTTAGTGATTGTACATCCTTCAAAAGTATGCCTTAAGTGTTATTGCACAATAAATAATAAACTTAAAAGAAAGACATCTTCAACGATTCTTTTATGTGATGAATGGCAGCCACATTGCAATGATTGTTTTGCTTGTCAATCAGTAGTAAAACTAAGTAAAGGTGCTAGTATGTCTAAACTACAAGTTAGAAATAAAGCCATGTTTATTGGACGTCCAAAAAAAGAAGAAAACATTTCTGTGTGGACATTTTCAATGTTTAATACTTTGAAAGAAAGTATAATAACAATCCATAATGATTAAATTAATATGGAAGAATTAATTAATGATTTCAATCCTCATTTAAAGCTTTGCACGTGTAATATTTGTGGTAAACTACCGATGCAACCTGTAACTCTTAAGAAATGTGAGCATCTTTTCTGCTTTTTTTGTTTAGTTGAAAGTATCAAGACAAAACCAATCATGAAACACTTTGCCCTAAATGCCAAGAACATATTATATACAGCGATTTCCTTAGTAGCCAAAAAACCAACACCGTCATAAAAATGCTGACTGTTTCATGTATGACATGCAAAAAAAATTTAATGTAGTACCTGACTATAAAATGTATACTATCCATAAGAAGACATGTTTTAAAACATTATCATTAATGCCATTATCACCACACAAATTAACACCATTATTGTTATCACCATCATTATCAATACCATCATCAAATCTACAATCATACTGAGCTAAGAGTTGTATATCAGATATATTCATGCTTACAAAAGATAGTGTTATTCCCAGGCTAGTTGAAGATGCTGCTCTTCATGTCATTAAACAAAAAATGGCTCAATGTGAAGAGAAATCAGTTACATTCAAAAGCGGAGGACCAAGAGTGAATGTTTCTTTATAATTATTTATTTTCATAGTGGAGAAGTATTGTTTTATAATTTTTGTAAAATAATTATATTTTTAATGAAGATTTGTATGAAAATTAAACAAATTTCTAAAATTCCTTTAAATATTTTATCTATAAAAAAAGTAATTCTAAGTCTTTGTTTACTTTAAAACAACCTTAGAATTACTTTAAAAAGTAATTCTAAGGTTGTTTTTGGTTCAGCTTCGAAATAGTATAATTGATTTGCTAACAGTTTGATTTTAAAACTTTTAAATATGCTTTATATTAAGGTTTTTTAAATTTTAGCCAATTTTTCTTTCATCTGTACCTAAAGCATATGGCAGCAATGAGGCATCAGAAAAAACTATACAATGTCGAAATTCATCTGTTAAAAGACAGCTTGAAGTAATCGCTGGAAAATCATTTGATTCAGTTTGTTGGTTCAGAAAATATGCAGTTTATTAAAGTAGACATTTTTAGCTTATATATTATATATATTTTAATAATTTCTTTAATAGGTGATTTGTTGGGAATAAAAATGGATTTATCATGTGAGTATTTTTATTCTTGAGAATTTTATATTCTTAGTTGTAAAAGTTTTTACCACCATGAATTTATTCCTCAAAATGAAATAAACCTCAAATAAAAATTGGAGGAGACCATGGAGGAGGAAGTTTCAAATTGAGCTACCAGGTAGTTAATACATATAATCCTAATAACAAAGATAATACTATTGTTTTTAACATTTTTAAAGCAAAAGACTTTCGAGTCAAGATTAAAGTAGCCATGCAAAGATTTCAAAAGGAAACTGAAGATCCCTAAGAAATGAAATTTAAGTAAGTAGATTAAACACATCGAAAAGATAAGTGTGTAATTTTTGTTTGATTCTTTTGAGAATGTTTGTAGAAATAATTTTAATATTAGTTAATAATGTTTAAAAAGTAATATTTAAATATTAGTTTTTAAAGATTTACATTTTTGTTCCGCTGTATTAAATACAAAGACGCTCATGCTCATAGGGTTTGTAGTTTCTGGAGATTAATAGTCAGTTCAAAATAGGAAGAAGTAAATGAAAAAAAGTGAAGATTTATTTTAAATGGTTTATTTTGCTTACATTTTAATCATAGATTTCATTATAAAGATAAAAACATTATTTATATTGATTTTTGCAAAAGATTTTGCATTTATTTTAATAATTGATTTCATCACAGGAATAAAAACATTTGTCTTTGTACTTAATACAGCGGAATATCAGGAGCTTCAGGTATTTTTTTAGCTTTCTCTAATTAAAATATGTTTGTTATCAAGTGATATTAAATTGATGGATATTATTAAGGGAAATACTGCTGCCTTTTTTTGTTATGCAACATCAAGCGATATGAAAGGTGCAAATGGTAAAAAGACAGAAAAGAAAAATCGCACTTTAGAAGATCTATATTCAGACTAAGAAAGATTCATAAAAAGTGATGGTGTAAAGAGTAATGCCAAAAATTTTAATAACGCTATAACAGAGCCAATTTTAAAAATACCTTTGGAGCAGGTGAAGCTTTTTTAATTGTTAATTTATGCACTGTACCCTATTAATTAAAAAATTCAAAGAACATATTTCTCTGAGTTGTTTCACTTGTTTTATAAAGCATGATGGCCTCTAAACTATGGAAATATATATCTAAATGAGTATGATGTATATATTTTTAAATAACTATAAATAATTATTTGTAGGTATCTTTACCAAGTCTTCGCATGGCACTTGGAATTTACTTAAATTTTTTTAACTATTTTGAAGAAGAAGTACACGAACTAGATATAATAATGGCTGCAGAAAAAATTAAGATAAGAAATATTAATGCAGATGTTTGCTCAAAAGAGTATCAAATGTTCATAAAAGAGCATAAACTATTGTCAACTCTTCAATCTGAGATCCAACACCTTGATGAAAAGCTTGAGTGGTTGAATGAAGTTGCTATAATGGCTGTAATAACCAATTCTGATGATGTTGTTGATATTCAATGCCTTTACCAAACAGAAATTGACTTAGTTAACATTGAAAAGGATAAAAAGGTTTTAAAATTTATTGGGCTGCATTTATTTTGATTTTTAGTATTTTGAGTAAATTTTTGTTTTTAGTTATTGAAAACAGAAGTTAAAGTTGTTTACAGAAATCTTTTTTGATATAACTAAAAAAAAACATTAAGAGAAATTTAACCTGGATGTACTTATATATTAATATTTTATATATATATATATATATATATATATATATATATATATATATATATATATATATATATATATATATATATATATATATATATATATATATATATATATATATATATAAACACACACACACTCCTGAAAGGTTTAGTTTTTTAAAAATCGTCAATTGATTAGTCTTGATTAGTGATTTATTTAAAAAACTGCTTTTTTTTATATCTTTTAGACCATTCAATATAATTCTCTTATACAAAAACATTCTCTAAAAAAAGGTCAGAACCATGCACAATTTTAGTTGAGACAGTTTTACAGTCATTGAAAGTTCAAAGACAGGCTTACCATGAAAAAAGTTTCATTGGCAATCATGTGCATATAATGCTAAAGGTATTTCCTTATTTTATTATTTTATTTAGCCTAAATTTGTATTATGAATTTTTGATCTTTAAATTAATGTTATATTTCTTTAAAATAATGCTTTTTTTTTTCATTCTGAAATAACATTTTTTTGATTTTCATCCCATAATAACTTATATTTCCGAATTTTCCAATTATATAGTTATTTTAAATTACGAAATTATGTTACTACTAGTTAAGTGAATACTTACATTGTTAAGTAGTTATAATCAGCTGGGTTATAATCAGAATAATTATAATTAGTTATATAAACAATTAGTTATATAGTTAGTTATATATGAACAAAATAGTTATAATAAGCTAATATTTAAGTTGTTAAATAGTTAAATCAGCTGGTATTAAATTTTTAAAATGTTTATCTAATTATATCATCAACTGCTTTAATCAAAAAAGTTAAAAGTTCGAACTAATTTCAAAATTATCATTCAAAATTAATTAATTGTAAAAATAGCTTTGTTGTTTTTTTTTGTCTAGAAATCATCTATACTTACCATATTGTGTACGACCAAGGGTTATCAGGTACCAATATACATCAACGAGCAATTGATATAAGCACTAAATATAAGAAGCTGTTTAATAAGTTTGCTCAATGTTATAATATATTTTCTTCCAAAAGTACTATGACAGCAGACATAATAAGATTTCTGCGTGAGTTTCATTTTACTTTGTTTTTACATCTTACCTTTAATAGTTAAAAAGATTTTTTCTAAAAGAAAACTACTTCTTCAGTTTTACTTTAAATTTTCTTATAGAAAAAGCAATTAACGATTTAATGATTTTCTTTCGTTGTACATGGCCAGATGCTTTAGTGACACCAAAACTTCATATGCTTGAGTCCCATGCTGTTCCGTTTTTGCAGAAATGGGGTGCAGGATTTGGTTATTATGGTGAGCAAGGTGGAGAATCGATTCATATAGAATTTAACAAATTGAAAACCGTATACCAATCGATTCCATGCCCGAATATGAAATTAAAAAGTATTTTGAAAAATCAACATCAAACGACAAATCCGGAGAACATACGACTTAGGCCACCTTTATATAGAAGAAAAAGATGTTAAAAAAAATTGTACTGTTGTGTAAATAATATATATATATGCAAAATATAATTATAAATAATAAAAAAAATATATATAGCAAATAAAGTTGCTCTTGTTATTTTCAACTGTTGCTTAACCCTTAGGTCCAAAACAAAAATCTCTTGCAATGTTGCTGCGTAGAAAAATAAGTCGATTATTAACTCGCAGAGAAATCAGACTTGGCTGTAGAGTAGTGGTATACCACTACTCTACAGCCACATGCAAGTGAACTAACCTCAATGATTTCTAATGATTCTACATTTTCTTCAACCTGCTAATTTTTAATCAAGTTTTATCAGAATATAATATAATTCAGACCAAAAAATAAAAATTTAATTGTCTAGCATTTTAATTATCGCTTATCGAACCGCGCGGTAAACTACTCTCATAAACAGGTGTTTTTGTACTGAAAAAACCAGTTGTTTAATTACCTGATTCATTATTTCTCCTCGAAGAATTTTGCATTTAATATTAGTATACGTTACAAATAAAAAATTTCAAAATTAAATTTCGTTATAAATTTTTGTTGGAATGTACTCTTACGCAATTGTAAAAAGTCACACACGAAAAAGTATACAAAAGGCTTCAAATTTGCTATTTCTTTTTTTCAAATTTTATATTTCATAGCGAAAAAACGGTGGAACAAAGGTAAACTTGAATAGTAATCTAACATTAAAGCGTTTTTAAAAATAATGCTCGTCATGTAGCATTTCTTTAATGTTTGCCTGAAGTTTATTCGTCAAAGGTTAAATTACTCAAGTCAAAAGATTTAAAAATATAATAACTTTTAAAAATGCCATAAAAAGGCATCACTATAAAATGAAATGTTTTCGTTATTTTCATTATTATTTCATAGATAATTTAATTCTGTTTATAACAAATTGTCTTATTTATAAAATAATTTCATTAACAAACATTAATTTTATTGAACATAAAATTATATTTTTAAAGTTTTATTATTTATAAAAATTACATTCATTTTAGTTATAATAATATGTATAACGACAGTTTCACTTAGCAGATTCTCTTTAGACTACACGCGTATGGGAAATAGTTGGCATAGATTTTGCAGGACCGTTTGCTCAAACAAAAATGGGGAACAAATATTTTATAAGCTGTAGCTTATAAACAAAGCTTCGATTTGTTTTTCCAAACGGCTTGTTGCCTACGCGTTACCGAACTAGGATGCTATAACGGTCGCTAAATCAGTTATAAATTTAGCGACAACATTCGGATTTCCCTCCGTAATAATAACAGATAATGGAACCGAATGGAAACGAGGTAACTATTTATATTTGTAAACTCATGTTTAAAAATAATGAGTTTGAAAAAATAATTTAATCACTTAGTTTATAAAAAATACTTTCGGACATTTTTCGTTAAACGACGAAATGTACAAAATCTTGGGAATAGAACACAGAAAAACTGCTGTTTATCACCCACAAACAAATAGGCAGGATGAAAATACAAATAAAAATATAAAAAAGTAATTATTACTTAGATGCTTTTAGATAAAGTTTTGATTTTTCCTAATGTTTAAATTAAAGGAATAGAAAGCAGTTTAGGGATTCTAAATTAGAATAATTGTTGGTAAAAGAGATGTGTTCTGCGTTGAGGACTTTTTGATACGGCACTTTTTAATACGGCACATATACACTTAGTGTTGCAGTGATCATAACAAACTTACCGACAAAAAAAGTTAAACTAAGATTAAAAAAGATGCACGAGGTTTCCTTATTTGCCTTCTTCTCCTACATAAAGAGATAACTTAAAATTATTTTAAGTTTATTTCAAACAACGACTTTATTGAAATTATTTGAAATTTTGTTTTATTAGAAAAATCCGAAAGTTAGTTGACGATAACTAAACAAACTGGAATGAGTTTATCGATATAGTTTTGTACCCACTAAGGATAGAAAGGCAAACGGCGACAAAAGTGTCACCCTGTGAGTTAATGTTTTCGCCCACCTGTTTGTAATAGTGAACTGAAAGAATAGTATTATAAACTATTAAATCTAAAATTATAAGATACCATTAATTGTTCATAGTTATCATGAAAATCAAAAGAGATTAGTAATTTAGGAGGTAGACTTTATTAAAGTTGATGAAGAAGAAGTAAAAGCAGAAGTAAAGAAGAGAAAGACCCAAATCGAAAACTTAACTAACTTAGTTACTAAAATAAGACGCTTCAATTCTTTGATTTAATTTGCAGTAGTTATTTATTAAAAAGCTATAAGTTTTACTAATAAGTTTTAATACCACATCATATTTAGAATATCAAAGAAGATCAAATCAAGCAAAAAAAAAAATATTATGACGAAAGAACTTTCAAAAATATTAAAATAGAAAAAGAATCTATTAAGGTTGGCGACAAAGTGACATAAGAGGAAGAAGAAATAAAGGAGCTGCTTTTAAGCCGCCGTTTCAAGGACCTTATTATGTATGTTGTATAACAAGTGGTGGTAATTTCAAATTAAATAAAAATAATAAAGTTCCATTGAAAGGAACT